AGGGTTTGGGGTGGGGAGGGACTTCAGTAGGGTATAACACCATAGTGTCCACTGCCCAAAGCAGCCATTGTCTCCAGGAGAACTGATCTTGGTCATCTGGACATAAGTTGTAATAGCTGGAGATCTCCAGGTGCCGTCTGGAGGTTGGCTTATGTTAATTTGGGTCTATGCAGTGGCAGCTAAGGTAGAAAAGCACCTCCTATGCCATGTCTTCTGGGTTCCAAGGGTCTGGAAAGTGGTTCCATAGCCAGTTACACAGTTGCCAACTCTGGGTTGGGAAATACCTGTAGATTTGAGGGGTAGAGCCTGGGGAGGGCAGGGTTTGGGGTGGGGAGGGACCTCAGCAGGGTATAATGCCATAGGGTCCACTGGCCAAAGCAGCCATTGTCTCCAGGAGAACTGATTTTGATCATCTGGACATCAGTTATAATAGCTGGGAAATTTTCTGTAGGGGAAATGATGTGCTGTGGCTGGGGAGATCTCCAGACCCCACAGGGAGATTGGGATATGTATTTTACCTCAGGACTCCCAACAGCAACAGCAGACTATTTAGGATGTTAGAAGCAAAGGCCAATTAGGTCACATATGCAAATGACCTCTGTGTTCTGACTGGCTATGGGGGGGAAGAGGAACAGCAAACTGTTTAGAATGTTGGAGGCAGGACTCAGGCAACGCAGCCAGTAGATAAGGGAGACCCTTTGAATGACAGATCATTCAGCTAACTGATTTCGGAGCGTGTTGGAAAGTTCAGGGGAGTCCATGACCAAAACAGAATTATATATAAGGAGAGATATATAATATTTAATGCCAAGTTCACTATCAGTATAACTAGATGAAACCTGAGTATTCTTACAAGAAACAGCACAAATGCAGAAAAATAATCACAATAGGACAGAGAAGTAAAGTCTCATAAATGTCAATGTGTCTCACTCCTGTTGTATAATAATTTCATAGTCCAACTTGACATGCATTCATCATGGAGTGGACTCATATAGTTCCAGGAGGATCCAAGTAATCTTGAAATCCATGAGTGACGTGTAGTCCAGATGCAAGCTGCCACGTTTTGAATAATTCTTTTTCAAATCTAAAAGGCTATAGTGGGGCTAAATGCAAATTCAAGGCATACACAGATGAGGATAAATAAGCAATATGTATAAATTGCATAGGTACAAAAATACAGAGAAACACACCCCAATCTCAGTAGTAATGTAAGCAGTAGTAACACATGCAGTTTAACCAGTCACAAAGGATCATGGGTCCTTATCCCACCATGTGTTGCATCACAATTTAGATCCAAATATCAGGCTGCAGCCACACAGGTCAAGTGGTAAGAGATCTTACTGTAACAAAAACTGAAAGTCAGGCTGCAAATGTACAGATTAAGCAGTTTACACCTTGCTACTTATATCAGGTTGCAATTGCACAGGTCCAGTAATTTGAAAGTTTACTGCTAACCGATATCCCTGTTTTTGTATCTATGCAATTTATACATATTGTTTGATTGTTTATCCGCATCTGTGTATGCCTAGAATTTGCATTTAGGTCCCACTATAGCCTTTTGGATTTGAAAAAGAATTATTTGAAACGCGGCTGCTTGTATCTGGACTATGCGTCGTTTATGGTTTATGGATTTCAAGATTATTTGGATCCTCCTGGAACTATGTGAGCCCACTCCATGATGAATGCATGTACAGTTGGACTATGAAATTATAACACAACAGGAGTGAGACACATTGAAATTTATGGGACTTTACTTCTCTGTCCTATTGTGATATGATTAAGAATACAAAAACTAAAGACATTATAAGACAAATTAAAAAATATGTAAGGAAGTTGGATGTTACAAGTATGTCTATTAGGACTCACAGGATATGTTCATCACTCCATTTGCTAATTGCCCTCCCGATGCAACTGCCGAAATATTTTTATCAATTGACAGTCCCAAACTAAGAAGAGTTTTTAGTTTGGCAAGAATGAACGTTCTTCCCTCAGCAGTTTTGGAGGGCAAATATAATAAGACTATCATACTCTAACAGAGTATGCAGATGATCATATGATAAAATTGAAACCATCAAACAAGATGATGGAGTTTCCTATATTCAATGAGTTGAGGGCTAATTTAGTCATCCCTTTCCTTTAAAGATACAGAATTGCTAAATGTGTGAGCCCAGGTATCATGGCTACTGTTGGATACAAATGATTGTGGCACCCTCTCAGTGGCAAAATTCATAGGCGCAGTAATCAAATATAAGAGAAATAATACTGATTTGAGGTATTTTAAAATTATATTCTTGGTTCTAGTTTCTGCTTAAGGTGATACTTATATGAGCAGTACTAGATAGATAGATGATAGATGGATGGATGTTATGGGGCATTTGGATGGGTTAATGAAGCTGCAGGGCCAATTTTAGGGGGAAGAGGTACGCTTAATGTTTCCTCAGATCCCAGCTGCGCTGAGAATGGTGCCATGGAATTTGAAAAATAAGAGTGTTAATGCTTCTGGATTATTTGTTAAATAGAGCAGAGGTCATTTCGGGGGGGAACGCGGGGGAACGCAGTTCCCCCAGGTGAGGTGCAGGGGGGCGGGGCACATGATGAAGCCCCGCCCCTGCTTCCGGCCGCCCCGCTTCCAGCCCTCATTCAGCCAGGAGGAGGCAGGAGAAGAGGGAGGGTAAGTTGCTTCCTCCCCGCCTCTCCACACCCCTGCCTGCCTGGGGCCAGGGAGGGCCTTGGCGGGGCTTCCTCGCACTCCCGCTGGCCTTGCAGGTCCACCGCCGGGCCCCTGATGTCAGGGGGTGTGGCATATGCTAATGAGTTATGCTAATGAGTTCCCCTAGCTCTTTTTCTACGAAATGACCCCTGAAATAGAGTGCCCTCTCGCTCTACCGACCACCTGGGGCGTGGCAGAGGCCTCTTGAAGAAGGGGCAGTGGCCCCTTTGCTGAAAGCCACCCCCAGTTTTGCCCTCTGACTTCCTTTAGAGAGTCAATCCCTGCAAGGAAGGCATCCTCTGGCCAGCGCTTACAGCCGACAGCGATGGCTGCGCCCATGCCTGCTAATCTGAGAGTGGCTTGCTGGGAGGGGAGGTGGCAGGGTGGGGGCAGGGCAAATTAGAGAGGGGGTGTCGCCCCAGGAGTGTCACCCTAGGAGCCCCCGTGGTTGCGGGCCTGGTGGAAGCCAAGACAGTGCGGAAGGGACTCTGGCTCAGTTGTAGAGTACCTTTGCATTCGTAGGGTCCCAAGTTCAATCCCTGGCATCTCCAGATGAAAGTATGAAGTAGCAGATGATATGAAAGACTTTTGCCTGAGGCCCTGGAGAGCTGCCAGCCTTAGTAGATATTACTGACTTTGATGGACTGAAGTTTGTATTCTATATAAGGCTGCTTTATGTGTGTTCAGTTAAAAATATCACAGTTTACTATGGTTTGTCCTGACCCCATAGATCAATACCCAAACCACGATTTGAGCTTTCAAATGATAGTTTGGAGTTGCTTATCTCTTTTTTATTTTCTGTCTTCTCAGCATTTGAGTTTGTTAAGCCCACTGCATCTCTGTAATGCCTGCAGAGGAGGAGTGATGGCTGAAATGATTCTTTTCGATTCTGGCACCGTTTTCAATCACAGCACAAATCATGGTTTGAAGTAACCATTGCTAGCATACCTTAAAATATGGGGAGGCATGTAGGGGAAAATGATGTTCCCATGGTTTCTAAGTTGGTGTGATTCATGTTAAAAATGTAAATCAGCTAACATTCTTGGTATGGACCCCATAACTTGATCCAGTGACTAGTAAACAGTTTTGAGCATAGTTTTTATTGAACATACTTTTCCTTTCTTCCCCTTCCTGGAGCAGCCCCCTGTGCCTCCAACCCAAAAAGCCACCCCCACCCATAAGGCAATTCCAGAGGGCTGGGAGATCCACCTGTCTTAACATTTGAACGGTTCTTATTGATTTACTTCGTTTACACCCGTCCTTTCTCCCCAGTGGGGACTGAAAGTGACTTAACATTATCGCCTCCATTTTATCCTCACAGCAACCCTGTGAGGTAGGTTAGGCTGGGAGAGTATGACTGGCCCTAGGTTAGCCAGTGAGCTTCTATGGCACGAGCGGGGACTCAAACTCAGGTCCCCTCGATACTGGTCTAACACTCTTAAACACTACATGCTCGCATTAATATTTTTATCTAAATGTTTACAAATGAAATCAATGGACCTGTGTGCCATGCAGTCTTCTTCTTTTAAGTGGTCTACGTATAATAATCTAGACAATTTCCTTTCCTGAAGGAAAAAAGGGAAGAAATGAGAATGGAGAGAGAGGCAAGTGGGAAGCAAGGGGGACAAAGAGGTTACCCACTAAATTTGGGGATGATATTATTTCCCTTCTGTAACCTATTTTTGAGTACTGAGAGTTCCTCCCCCCACAAAAAACACAACTGAAAAGCACCATAATTTTTGATGACTAGGATTTGCCCTCTATGACAAAAACTGCAGGAATTGTTTTTAACAATGCACAAGTTTTTTACACTGCACAAAATTTGTCTAGGTATACTTTAAGAGTAATCCATGATTTAAATCTTTGTCTTTAACACTTTCTAGAACTTTTCACCGTGATGGTTGGTAGCTCTAAGCCTAAAGTCCCTGCTATCCTTCACAGTAGTTCCACTGGCAATAAGAGGACAGCTCTAGAGTATGTGGCCTGAGGATGCTTTATGTTCTGGTGGGCTAATTTTTACATCTGCCTGCTTTAGAAGGGAGCAGATGATTAGAAGGGAGCAGACTAGACATTTTAGAACAGTATGGACTACTGGAGATAGGCTTGCAGGAACGCGTCACATGCTTACACCCCAATGCACATCCAAGCAACTTAGGTGAAGCCAGTCCTGGGTGTTGTGCATCTACCTGGAAATTGACGGTGGGGCAGATAATTTTATAGATTTCTGTTCCTCCTTGTGACTTTTGCGATGTGGCAAAACATGTGTAACAATGCCACTTCATTGTTTTAGGTGTTCGCAGTGGCTGCCCTGTAGAAGCAAGAAAATGATGAGCGATGCAAGTGAGATGCTGGCTGCAGCTTTGGAACAGATGGACGGCATTATTGCAGGTAGAGCTTCTTTTGTTGTTGTTCTTAGAGGGACTGGGTTCTGGCATTGGGAAGGCATTGTGAAACTGTCTTGGGGAGTGCAGGAATCCATGTTTGGACAGATTTATGCTAATTTATCCATCAACCTCCTGGAAGCTCTTTTCTTAGACCTAACCATCTGTTTTTCAAAGCTGTTGAGTAATTTGTTCTGCTTTTATAATCTACACATGGTAGACACAAGGTGTTTATTTTTCCAAATCCAGGTTAAACTGTGGATTGATGTTGGATTATTAACAGGGGAATGGAAGAGATGGGAAGCTTTGGACCCAGTTCAAGGGATACAGGGACTACTTTACAATGGCTTTCCTCCTTTCTCCATGGTCAGGGACAGAGGGTGGCGCTTGGGGAGAGGATCTCTCTGCGATACCCACTGGAATGCGGTGTGCCGCAGGGGGTGCCCCCTCGCCCAGTTGGTCTGGGGGTTTGGACTGGGTTGTCACCAGTATGCTGATGACACCCAGCTATTTCTGTTGATGGACGGCTGGTCGAACTCTGCTCCTGATGTTTTGGATGGGGCATTGGAGGCTGTGGCTGGATGGCTACAGCAGTGCTGGCTGAAATTAAATCCAGTGAAGACGGAGATCCTGTACCTGAACCTTGGGGGTCTGGGATTGGGAATTTGGCTCCCAACTCTTGGCAGGGCACCATTGATGCCAGTGCTGAGGGTGAGGAGCCTAGGGGTGATCCTGGCTGCCTTATTTTCTATGGAGGCCTGGGTTGCTGCAGTTGCCGGGTCAGCCGTCTACCATCTTTGGCTGGTCAGACAGCTGGTTCTCTATCTCACCTCCCAGGATTTAGCTACAGCAACGGTTACTTCCAGGCTGGATTACTGTAACTCGCTCTACAGGCCCTTGAACCTGACCTGGGAACTGCAGCTAGTGCAAAATGCTGCGACACGCCTGCTGACAGTTCAAGCTATAAAGGTGTTTTGTGCGGGTTTTGGAATGGTGAAGATGTCAAGTCTCAGCATCAGAAATTTTTACTCCGTTTGTAGACTACTTTCATAAAGGGACAGAAAATGTATCCTGCCATCCCTGGTCCCACTGTACCATCTTCCTAAAGAGTTGTATCATAAATGTGTATTACACGTGTATAGCCGATGTGGAACACAGCATCTTTCCACCTGTGGATCTTTGATTCTGTACAGAGTGTTTGCTTTATGGCTCGAATCACTGTCAGAACCCTGCCTAACCTAACAAACATTTTTTGCTGTATCATTCACTTTGTTCTAATTCAGAAAACAGAGACCAGACAGAGGCATAACAGATTACAACCAGGTCCCTTTGCCTTGTCGCCTCTCCCAGGAGCTATGTAGTATACGAGAAGTATACTATCACTAAGCACAGAGGTTCCTTGTAATCATCATGGCTGAGACTTAACCTTGTCTATTCTATTTTTAATCCACACAGTCTTGAGGTAGTGAATCCCAAGAGTTTATTAATAAATTTCATCAATTAATTCCCCGAAAAACATTATATGTTTGCGTATCTCACATTAGAGTGTGGGATCTGGGCCTTTTACTGATATGTATTTGATTACTCTATACAGATCTTGCTTTAACAAACGGAGGCTTGCTTCATGCCTGCAAATTGGGATTCTAGACTTATTATTTTGATTCCTTGAAAGAAACCACATTTTAATCCATATACTGCCCTGAAACCTTTCTCCTTCTCCTCCTACTTCCCTGGGCATGAGCAAGGTTTGTAGCAATTCTTCACAGTTTAAACACTGTTCTCCCCATACATGTGTGTGTGTGTGTGTGTGCATGTATAGACATTCTGTATATATTGTTAAAAAATGAGCTAATGCTGCCCTGACCTGGATAGCCCAGGTAAGCCCAATCTCGTCAGGGCTCGGAAGCTAAGCAGGGCTGACCCTGGCAAGTATTTGGATGGGAGTCTTCCAAAGAATACCAGGGCTGGGAGGCAGAGGGAGGCTATCAAGCCACTTCTCTGAACATCCTCCATGCCCCTAGTAGGAGTCACCAGAGGTTGCTATGACTTCCAGGCCTGGGGGTGCACACGCACACACACACACACACACACACACACACACACACACACACCATAATTGAGCTAATGCTGTTTTTAACTCTTGTGTTCCTCTAGGCTCCAAGGCTTTGGAGTATTCCAATGGCATATTTGATTGCCAGTCCCCAACTTCTCCATTCATGGGGAGCCTGCGAGCCCTACATCTGGTGGAGGATTTGCGCGGCTTACTGGAGTTGATGGAAGTGGATGAGAAAGAAGGATTGCGGTGTCAAGTCCCAGATTCGACAGCAGAGATTTTGATTGAATGGCTACAGAGTCAAATGGTACGACAGTACAAGTGATTACTTTGTGTTTTTTTTAAAAAAAAAAATTGGTTGGACCATTGTTCTTTCTGACTGGCTAATATACTGCTCAAATTATTAGCAGGAATTTATGCAGTCAGATTGCAATTCCTTTTATATTGATTTGTCTGAGAAACAGGACAGATGTAATGCCTTATTTTTAAGCATTAATTCCATGATTGCATTCTAATTAAAGCATTTTTAATTTTGTTTTAAAAATTGCTCTTTGCTTCTTGGCTGCATTCTGCTTCAGAGATGTGAAACATCAACTCTGTAAAGTCTTCAGCCAGTTGACATTGTTTTGACTTGCTTGTTTCTACTATTATTTTGAAAATGTCTACTCTGTTTTCTGTCTGTATCCATGTCAACCAAGGGTAGCAGTAGGGCTGTGCCCCTGTCTGAAAACTTGAAAGTTAAGGGGTGATTTCTCTTCCTCTCTTTTCAAATGCTGTCAAAAGGCAGGGAAAGGTTGTGTTGTTCTGTATTGTGCAGACTGTAGTTGCTGATTTATAGGAAGTATAATTCTATAAGGAGTGATTAGTTGTTTGACCTTATATGGGCTAAACTGGAATTAATACTTCTAGTCCTCAGTGGAATATCAATGTTAATTTTAAGCCTGAGGAAGAAAGATTCTTTCTTTGGTACCCCATTGTGCCTCCAGCTGCTCTCTGTTTTCTACTAGTTCCCATCTCATGAGTTTTTAATTCCTGATTTGAATGACTCCTTTGAATTTCTCCCAGAATCTCCTCCAATTTCACATACATTTTGCTCACAGTATCTGCATTTAGCAGGGTCTGAGAAGCTAACAAGGCTAAGATACTAGTCTCTTGTCCAGAAGAAATTTCATTTCCACCCAGATTATACAGATGTTGGTCCTCTTGAAGAGAGTCACTTAAAGTCTTGACCTCTTGTATCTGTTTTTAGGAGGAGTGTCATGCAGTAGAGGATTAACTCTTGAGAAGGAACTATCCAGTTTAGAGGAAGGTAGCTGGTTGGAGTATTCCTTAATCTCTTCTTTGAAGGCACCATCGCATGTACTGTCTATATGCACAGAGACACAGCTGGCTCTCAGTGCCAACAACCAACCGCTGAGCACTCAAAGATAGGAAACTAAAGTGTGAAAGGTTCAGAGTTTCGTTCATACCTCGAGCTCTTTAGTTGTTGTTTCACTCTTTCACATTCACTCTTTAGTCCCACAGCTGACTTATCACAAACAGTTAAGGAGTGTAGCTGTTGTTGCTCCTAATTTGTCTTGATTTAAAAGAAAATCCAGTTTGCTGCTGCTTGCAAATAATGCATCAGGTGTCAGGAATCCTGGAGTTCAAAGCATTTATAAACAGCAGAGGCAATAATTCACTCCAAATACCCCCGAAGCACTTCTTGTAGCCAAAGAAGCAGTCTTGAATCTGTCTGAAAAACGGATTTGAAAAGTTATTCACCATCACACAAAAAAAGAAAACTTATCAAAAGCAAGGCGGGAGGAGCTTAACATAAAGCATCTGCTCAGGTCACCATTTTGACATCAGCCTGGGGATCTAGGTACCAAATTACGATTGCGTCCGCGAGCTCACACCCAGCCCAATTATTTAGAACAATTTGCTCTATAACTGTTCTGCCACAGTGCAGACCAAGTGCTAGGGAATTGGACATAAGCTGCAAGGCATTTGCAAGCTATTTCATGGATAAAGTCTTGTCGCTCCGCCGTGACCTCCACACCACAGTTGAAACAGTGAGCGAGCTTGAGGCTCCATGCATGTCTTCAATTCCGGTTTTGGATCATTTCAGCCTGCTCAGCCTAGAGGAAATTGACAAACTGCTCCTAGCTGTTCGCCCTACCACAGGCTGCCTTGATCAGTGCCCGTTGTGGCCAAAGGGTGGCACTAGGGGAACAGCAGTCCAGGAGGCACCCACTGGATTGTGGAGTGCCTTAAGGGGCAGTGCTTTCCCCAATGCTATTCAACATCTATATGCGCCCCCTTGCCCAGATTGCCTGGAGGCATGGGCTGGGGTGTCACCAGTACGCTGATGACACCCAGCTCTATCTGATGTTGGGCAGCCGGTCCGACTCGAGACCGGAAGATCTGGACCGGGCATTACAAGCTGTGACTGGTTGGCTTAGACTGAGCCAGCTGAAACTGAATTCAATGAAGATGGAGGTCCTGTGCTTGAGTCGGGGTGGTTCAGGGGTAGGGATCCCACTCCCAACCTTTGAAGGGGCGCCATTGGTGCCAGTGCCGAAGGTTAGGCGTTTGGGAGTGCTCTTGGACACCTCCTTAACAATGGAGGCCCAGGTAGCAGTCACTGCCAGGTCGGCCTTCTACCATCTTCGGCTGATTAGGCAGTTGGTTCCCTTCCTCGACTGCAATGACCTGGCAACAGTGATTCATGCGATGGTCACCTGGAGATGAGACTACTGTAACATGGAGCTGCCCTTGTTGCAAATTCGGAAGCTGCAGCTAGTGCAGAATGCTGCAGCCGGGCTTCTGATGGGCCTCCTCAGGTGGAAGCACATCCAGCCTGTGCTTGAAGACATTGCACTGGCTGCCAATAGCATACCAAATTCGTTTCAAGGTGCTGGTTCTTACCTTTAAAGCCCTATATGGCCAGGGTCCAACATACCTGAGGGACCGCCTTTCCCCATACATACCCCAGAGCAGTGTTCCCTCTAAGCTTAGTTAGTGTGAGCTAGCTCACAGTTTTTAAGCCTCCGGCTCACACAGTTTTGTCTTTGCTCAGGAAGGAGGGCTCCAGAGCAAACTAATTGATGCAGTAGCCAGATCCCTCGCTCACAACTTTCATGCCAGTCGCTCAGAAAGGAGAATTTTTGCTCACAAGACTCCAAAGCTTAGAGGGAACATTGCCCCAGAGAGCACTACGGTCGGGGTCTCAAAATTGACTGACCCTCCTGGGTCCCAAGGAGGCCAGGCTTGCTCCTACCAGGGCCAGGGCCTTTTCAATGGTGGCTCCTGTATAGATTCTCTCCTCCCCAGACCATTTCAGGAATGGGAGGGAAAGAATTCTACACTGGAATAATTCATTACACAAGAACCCAGGAGAGATAGGCTCTCTGGATTTACAGACACAGCCACCAGGATCTCTAGAATAATTCCCTCACCAGCCTGAGATGAGAGATCCCAGAACCTCAGTTGGTATGTGGGGTTACACTCCAACAACCCTGTCCAGGGCTATACAGTTAATTGTTGGTAGCAGCCTTTGGCGAGCAGCAGGCACCAGGAAAAAGGCTTGGAGTCAGTTACACATCAAGCAGACACTATTTATAAACAAGAGTAAAGTTTATTTAGCACAGAACTTATCATCAGACTAGGAGAATTCAACAGAACAACCTAAGCAATGTTTTGCCTAACTACACAATAAGAAGCATATTTACCAACAGGTCAGTTGTCTTGGAGGCCCCACCTGCAGGCATGTGACCCCCACCCCAATCCACCATGGGTTACGTGCGTATTAGCTTGTTTCTGGCCTCTGCTAGCGAGTGAAGGAATGTTTATGGCAGGCAATTGACCAAATGGTCAGCCATCTGGCTTGCATAGGAAATCAGAACAGCAGGGTACATTCCAGGGGGAAGGCAGGGTCTATAGGAATCAATTTTTCTATACAGCTCCATACTGGTGGAATGAGCTCCTGGAAGAGAACAGGGCCCTGCGGGGTCTTTTACAGTTCCGCAGGGCCTGCAAGACAGAGCTCTTCCACCAGGCTTTCAACTAAGGAGCTGCAGCCACTATTACCACCAACAATCTTAATTATAGAGCCCTGGCCCTTGGCTGTGACATCTAGCCTGTGCCACCGCTCGTATTAGGAAGAGCATTGAGCAGAATAATTGTTAGACTTTTATATGCACTCTTATGGTACGCCATCTTAAGCAATTAATTAAACATCGCCAGCACTTTATGAATTATTTACGAATTATTTACAATTGAACTGTTTTTAGATGATTTTATATGGATTTTAATTGTTATTTATGTATTAACCAGTGTAAGCTGCCCTGAGCCTGCTTTGCGGGGAGGGTGGCATACAGTGGGGTACAAATTAAATAAATAAATGAATAGAGTCTAATCTGACCAAGTTGCTACAATTACTTGTGTACAGAATTAATATGATGGATCATATCATTTTGAGGGAAACTTTTTAGTACTTGAAGTGTTATGCTTAATTTTAGAACTTCAGTGACTCTGAATCTTTTACTATGTAGGGCTCTAATGTTGTCTGATTTTCATGTTTACTAGGTGTGTGCACAGAAAATAATTGGTATTTTTCGGGTTTGGGTATATCTTTAAATGCCTTTTGTAAGCTGCACTGTGAGTGAACTCTGAAGCGGCGCGTTCACCCAGAAGGTGTTTAAAGAGAGGTGAACTTGCCGCTTTGGAGTTCACTGTCAGTGCAGCTTGCAAAAGGCATTTAAAGGGACCCTGCCTTCTTTGGAAACTGTGGGAGATGGAGGGACCTTCTTCTGTGGCTCATAGAATTGGACCCCCTGGTCCAGTTTTTTTGAAACTTGGGGTATTTTTTTGACGAGAGGCACCAGTATCTATGCTGCGAATTTGGTGCCTCTACCTCAAAAACAGTCCTCCCAGAGCCCCAGATACCCCCAGCTTGATTTTCCATTAAAGCCTACTGGGACCATTGACGATATAAAGATATTTATCAGGTATTTTTTCAGCTCCATTTATACTGAGTGCACACCCCTGGTTGTCTCCAGAGAAACTAAATAAACTAAGTGGTACAACCTAGCTGCGGTGGCTCAAGTGGCTAAGACGCTGAACTGCAGGCTGTGGAAGGTCAGTAGTTCAGCAGTTCAAGACCCGGGTGCCGCAAGACAGGGTGAGCTCCTGTCTCTAGTTCCAGCTCCTAGCAGTTCGAAAGCAAGAAATTGCAAGTAGATAAATAGGGACCACTTCGGTGGGAAGGTAACAGCGTTCCGAGCGCCTTGGTGTTTAGTCATGCCGGCCACATGACCACGGAAACGTCTTCGGACAGCGCTGGCTCTTCGGCTTTGAAACGGAGATGAGCACCGCAACCCTAGAGTCAGATTCGACTGGCTTTCGAGCAAGGGAACCTTTACCTTTACCTTTTACAACCTAGCAGTTACAGACACTTAGTCATTCTTCTTCTTAGATGTAGTCGTTGCATCAAAGTCCATCCCACAAACTTCAAAAGGAAATTGAAACATTGTAGCCTGCTTCCTTAAATACATATGCCCAAAAGGGCTTGAGCTAATGTTCTCTTTCTCTGTTGGCAGTGTTAAAGGGCATAACCCTTCAGGGTAATTCCTCAAAAATTAATTCTCAGAAGAAATTGTTTCTTTTATACAGGCATACTGAGCATGTTTGCTCAGGGATGATTGAACTTTAATGTCAATTAAGTCATGAATGAGAGTCTGTAACCTCATAAGGATATTTTTTTGCTCATGAATGGGTAATACTCCAAAAGAAACAAGTAGATCCTATTCCAAAATGTCATGCTCTATAGTAGGAGGAAGGGCTAGTCAGCTAATTCCTTACTGCAGACTTGACTGACTCTTGAGAAGGGATAGTAAGATCTATAAGTGATTCCTTGTCTGCAGGATGTTGATGTGGTAGATTATCAGCTCTGTTTAATAAAATACCCACATCGCTGCCAGTGTCTATTCTTCTCATCTGGGCCATGCTCTTTAACTAGTTAGTTGTCCAAATAACTCAAGTGTTCTTTCTTTGTTAGAATGCAGTCCATTACAGCTCCTCAGGAAACAGGGTGATGATGTAGGATTTGAATTTTAAACAATACTGTTAATTGTCTGCCATTTTAAGGACACTAAGCATTAGGCTTCATGGCATGTGTGTTCTACCTAGGTGTTAATCTTCTGATTTCTAAGTTATTAATATGGCATCATAGCCCCTGAGTAGCCTATTATATATTGATCATGAAAAAAAGTGTATCTTTTGTAGTCTTGGAGTCACATCCTGAATTCTATCTTTTTGCTGGGAGCTTTATTTCACTTTGTTCCATATTTGTGGAACAGTGTCGCAGCAGGTCAGTGTTTCCTCTATTTTGTTTTCCAGACCAATGGGCATATATCTACTAATGGAGATGTGTATCAGGAGCGACTCGCACGTTTGGAAAATGACAAGGAATCTCTTGTTCTGCAAGTAAGTCTTTTTCCTTGATTGGTTCATTTTTTATTTCAGGAATCATAAAGTTTTGAATGTTGCTCTGAAGTGTTATAATCTTATTTAACAGCAGATTTGTTATTCTCCCACCACCCCTCTCTAAAACTGTTCATTATCTGATGGAAATTTTCCATGGAGTGCAGAAACATTAGGAGGGTAGAAAGAGGCGGTGTGAGTGTGTCTGTGTGTGAGAGTGAGAGAGAGAGAGAGAGAAAGAGAGAAAGAGAGAGAGAGAGAGAGTTCTTGCAGGAAAACAAGAAGCAGGTACTGGGCCTAATTTTCCAAGGCTCACTGTTTGCAGGGACAGTGTAAATGAGCTTGGTGGTTCAGATGTAATGAACGGGGTGTGGCTCAGTGGTAACAAAAATACTTGTTATGCAGAGTGTTCCAGGTTCCATCCCCAGTGTCTCTAGTGAAAGAGATCATGTAGTAAGTGATGTGAAAGACTGTAAGTCCCAGAAGAGCTGGCGCTAGTTTGAGCAGACAGTACTGCTCTTCATGTTTTAAGTGAGTCAGGATAGCTGTGTTTCCTGTTCCTGTATCTACACAGTAGTTCGGAAATACATTCTAAATGGAGGCTAATCTCCAGGCGCTGTGTATGCTTTGTTTCTAACATTCAGTCACACTCACATTTACAGAACAGAAGGGAGCGGTGGCGCAGGCAGTAAAAAGCCTGCAAAGTTAATCTATCAAGAACATCCACAAGGCTGTTTGAGTCCCACCGCGGCCGGGGCGAGCTCCCGGCCCTTGTCCTAGCTCCCACCCACCCAGCGGTTCGAAAGCTTAGCAAGTAGATAAAGTACCTGCCTTAGGTGCAGGGGGGCACCCGCATTCCGGTGGAGCGGCGGCGAGAGGAGCGGTGGTGTCGGCGACGACAGGGCGATCCGGCAATCCAGTGGAGGATGGCGGCGGAATTCAACACCAAGCAGGCGAGCGTTCCAAGCGGGGATTGGTCCGGAAACTCGGCGACACAGCGGCGCAGCATGGCCGGAGCAGTGATTGTTGCATAGTCTCAGACAAAGGAACTGCCCCAGAGGGAGCTGCTGCGGAGCTGAGCTGAAGACGCCCACCGCGTGGAGTCAGAGGAGAGAAGAGCCGCTGGAAGAACAACTAGCCAGCAGGGTGCCTGGTAGGCACTCACTTTCCCCAATTATCGTGTGGCCCTACTTAGGAGTATTAATAAGCCATGTAAACCGCTCAGAGCCTCCGGGATAGAGCGGTATAGAAATCGAAAGTTAAATCAAAGTCAAAAGAGCCAGTTTGGTGTAGTGGTTAAGTGTGTGGTCTCTAATCTGGGAGAACCGGGTTTGATTCCCCACTCCTCCACTTGCACCTGCTGATGTGACCTTGGGTGAGTCACAAGCTCTGGCACAGCTGTTCCTGAAAGAGCAGTTTGTGTCAGAGTTCTCTCAGCCCCACCCACCTCACAGGGTGTCTGTTGTGGGGAGGGGAAGGGAAAGGAGTTTGTAAGCCGCTCTGAGACTCCAAGTGAAGGGCAGGGTATAAATCCAATCTCTTCTTCTTCTTCAATTCACTTCCGACTTATGGCAACCCTCTGAATTAACGACCTCCGAAACATCCTATGGTTAACAGCCTTGCTTGGCTCTCGCCCTGGGGGGGGGGGATCAGAATAGGGACCTGACTGACTCCTATGCCAGCGTAACTTGGAGTTACACGAGCGTAAGGGCAGTTAATGCTGGCGCAGGGCACTATCAGTGCTGTGCCACTGAGTCCCACCCGCACAGGAGCGCCACAACCATACAAACCCCGCTGCCATAGAGGTGGGCGTTCCAGAGGTCGTGTTGGCAGGTAGGCTTCTTCCAAGGTGTTTTCAGCATGGGAACTCACCCCCGAGCAGGCGCAAAGTTGCACTGGGAAAAATTGTATCATAGCCCATTGACAGCCATGGTAATGTCACTCTCACACAGTTGCGGAGACACCCATGAGACTTGAAGTAGCTCAGGATACCGACTAAGTGTGCACCCAATCAGCACACTCCCCTTCTCCAGTCATACACCTCCTTGGGACCGAATCATGCCCCCCCCCCCGGCCTACAAATGGTTCCAGGAGCTTGCCCCATAATTCTGTAGGTAGGGCACATGGCACAGAATGCTGTCTGACAGCTTCCTACCCTGTAGATTTAGAGTGAGCACACATGCACACCGTTGCTGACCACAGCACAGAGCACCTAGCACTGCCAGCCGAGCACCTGGGGGAATACAGCACAATTAGAGCAAAGTCCACACTTTCTGGCTGGTCTCTCTCAGATTTCAGCCCGCACAGGTACACCAGGATCCCAAGGGGCTGCCGTGTGTGAACAGGTAAGCAAGGCTCCCATTACCCTACCCCCATACCTCCCCTGGGCCTATCATGGTGGCACCAAGCTGCACTGGACACTGCTTCTCCCCCTTCTGAACCTGGCAGCTGTGGGGGTGAGCAGCAGGCCCCCAGATGAACATGGATGCTACCAATGCTCCCTCTAAGCTGTGGGGTCTTGTGAGCAAAAATTCTACTTTGTGAGCTACTGGCATTAATGTTGTGAGCAATCGATTTGGCTGCTGCATAAATCAGTTTGTGTTGGAGCCATCCTTTCTGAGTGAAGACAAAAATGTGTGAGCCGGAGGCTAAAAAACTGTGAGCTAGCTCACACTAACTCAGCTTAGAGGGAACAGTGGATGCTACACACCAGGCAGTTAGGTGCATCGGGGCTTGCCTGAGGCAGCTTCTGGGGGAGTGGGGCCACTGTGATGGCTGTGGGCTAGGCTGCTTACCTAGCCCGGTGGCAACACCCCCCCCCCCTGGCCAAAACCCTGTGGCGGCTGGCATGCACCACCAACCTATGTGCTGGCCAATTCCGTATGATGGCTAGACTCTTCCCCATCTAGAAGAAGTATACCTTGAAGGTGCTACCACTATTCCTCTTCTGTTATAGGTAGGTGCTGACAGGATGCCAACTCAGGTGAGGAGGGTGCAGAAACAGCCACCTGGGGGGCGGGGCTTGCAGCAATGGAGTGCCAGACGGGACTGCCAGTGGCCCTTTGTTCTGCCATGACAAAATGTTGCCAGCTGCTCCCGTGTCTGTTTTGGCTCATATGCAGGTGCCGATCCAGCAGGGAGGGGTGACACCCCAACCACGCAGTCAAAACGCTATCAAGCGCTCATGCCGCAGCAGAAGCTGCCCCCTGTAAGCATCCAGACACATCCAGTATCCTGACACTGCCATCGAGGAGGCACTCCTAGTGGCAATGGACCGAGTGGACTACCAGTCGCAGGGTTCGCGGTCCTATGAGAATCACTCCATTGTCCCCGGATCCCTTTAATAAAGTTGGATCATTGTGCCTGTCTGAGGTGTTGGTGTCTGTTGGGGACCCGTGGGGGAGGGTGCAGCAGGAGGGTGTTGAGGAAGCAACAAGGACCTGGTAGACACAATTGGGGACTCATCCCGGCAAGACTGCAGCCACAGAAATGGACACAGATGGCAGGAGGGTAAGACAAGGGGACAGGCTGCCATTCCCACAGCCACACAGCGCATAGGCATGCTTGGCAGGTTGGCCACACCTTGTGGAAGGGGAGAAGGACATCCTGGGATGGCAGGGTTTCCTGGAGGTCATGCCATGGGTAGTTGCTTCTGGAGTGACCCTGGGGAAGATGGCTGGCCCTGATGGGCTGGCATGGTCCGACAAGGCGTGCTGGACGCACTGTTGGAACAAAGCTGTTGGTATAAAGGCCCACCACTGCAGTGAGGGTTGACCAATAGCTGAAAGAGCTATAAAGTGGATATGGTCAATTTTAGAAGGCATAGCCCTACAGGGCATGACTAGGGCCATCAAGATTCCAGCCACCCTGGGGAATATTTGGGTATGCAAATATGGGAGTCAAATGGCAAACAATAGTGGCAACTGGGCAGAGTCGGCCGCCCACAGCACTAGTGGTGGGCACCCTGAACAATACACACCATTGCCCTTTGCTGCCAGATGCGTGCCCACACACACTCCTGCTTGGATGCTTCCCAGGAACTTGGCCACGCGGTCCGTAAAGATGCCCTGGTGGTCTCAGGAGGCCTGAATGTCCAGGCTGTAGAAGTGGTGGTGATTACGGTATACCTGCAGTTCCTCCTTAGGTGGTGATGAGGGCTATATAGGTGTGGTCAACAGCCCCCACCACATTGGGGAAGCCTCCAAATGATGCAGACCCTGCCCTGATGGGTGCAAGGTCTCCCTCCTTTGTGGGGAAGCCCAGATCTTCCTGGAGGTGCGCCAGCATGGCATCCAGAAAGCTACGTAGGCTGCAACTAGGCAAGGACTGTGACACCTGAAGTACCTCTGTGATGACCCGTGGAAGGATCCGGGGGCCAGGGACCTCAGGGAAAGCAAGATTTTCTGCAAGACGGGGATGGCATGGGAGTGGGATCTTGGCCCTGGGAGGCTAGCTTGAGCTCCTCGCACAGGGCCTGGATGGTGGCTCTGTCTAGGTGAAGACAGATGCTGTCTGAAAGATGGAGAGTGCTGATACAAGCCCGGTACTGGCAGGCACAGAGCCTCCTCTGCCTTCACTGTGCCACCCAGACATAGAGCACTGGTAGCAAGTAAGTGTGACACACCCAGAGCGTGGGAGGTAAGGGCAGGGCACAACATCTCACTTGTGGCTGGCCTGGCCCTGCGGGAAAAAAGGGACAGCATTCGTGAAGATGGTGGGCAGCCGGTGCCGCAGTCATTCATGTGGCCAGCATCCTTAAACCCACTGGGTGCAACCTACCCCCCTCTGCGAGCGACTTATTGTCCACCGCCCGCAGACACCTCCTGGTGGGTGATGATCATGGCAGGAGCATGGGGGGGGGCAGAGTACGGGGATTGGCATCTTCCCATGTTGGGATGGTCCACTTCCACATTCCCCTGTGCATGGGTGGCATGGCTGCTGCAAACTGAGCCAAGGCCAAGAAGGCAATGTTGTACAGGTTGATGGTGGAGCATACCAGCGTTGCCCTTGCCACTGCCTGGAGCAGCTCTGCCACCTCCTGCCACCGTGACCTCTGGCGCATGGCTGCAGAATACATGTCTGCCGTGGGACATGCCATCTGGACTGAGATGTCCATTCTGAAATCTAGAATGTTTCCTTCAGTCCCGCTCAGAAGCCGAAGATGTTCTTTATAAGCAGGCAGTGGAGGAGAGTCTGCTGGGAGCAGAGGCCATCATGTGGGTGGTAATACCCCCTATGGTGCTGGGTGGCCATGCTATTGAGGTCCTGTGTAGTGAATCTCATGGTCGCCGCTACCACCTGGCCTCAGCCTTGGGGGCCATGTTTTGCCACCTGCTGCCTCCACCTACCCCCCAATTGTCCTAACTGATGTCCCTCGACCCCGCAAGCAACTCGCAGGGTGCGGGTGCTGCTGGAAGTCTGTCCTCTGAGGTCAGTGAAGAAGGCCAAGAATGCCGTAGTAGCCAGTTACCGAGCCTCACCCTAACGGAGGAGGGCGGCTCTGCCATCGTTATGCCGCCATCTCCACAGCCAGGGTGCTTCCACAACATCTCCAGGATCTCCCACCAAGGAACCTGCCCCTGTGTGTCCAGCGAGTAGGAGATGGAGCTGAGCCACAGGGTGAAGGACCACAGCGGCCAGGCTCCCGGGCCAGGGGCTGAGGGAGGTGAGGTTCCTCTGCGGGGAGCAGGGTGCAAGGGCTCAGCACCTGCCTGGGAGCTCCCGTGGACTGGCTGTCGTATTTTCTCCCTGTGCCCAGGTCCCTACTCCCTGAGGTTCGCTGCTGATGTTGTGAACCAACTATGTGCCTTGAGTCTGAGGAAGCGCATGGCAATGGCAGCCTCCATCCTGTGGTCACTTGGCGTCATGGGGAGGCAATGTACAGAGCAGACTCGATGTCTTTGGATGATGGAGGCCCTGTCCTGGCAGATGGGAAGCAGGCAGGGCAGCTTCCCCGGGGCCAGGTGTTGTGGCTGCTGGTGACCTGGAGGAGGGGATTCTAGTCTCTTGCTGGGTCCCCGAGTACTGGGTACAGGGCCTGCGTCCTCCTCAGCACATCCCGCCCACCCTTTTTTCCATGTCGGCAATTGTATGGGAGCCGTTGGAGAATCGTCACAAGTGGGGGGCAGCAGTGGGTGGAGGGGCTTGCGGCATCTGTGATGGCAGCTGTGGGGCACCTGGAGGGGCTTCTTGCCATAGCAAGGGACATTGAGAGGCTGCTGCTGGATCTGTCTGAGTTTCTGCGGGACACCGTACACCCTCACGTCAATGTTTTTGTCTGTCATCGCCTTCTGGGCCCCTGTGCACTCTGTGTGCAAAGCGCTACCATGGGGGTGCCCGTGGGGCTGATGGGTGATGCCTCCCTCCCCACTGACAGGTGGCCAGGGCTTGTAACAAGAGCTGGTGTCTTTGTGTGTGTGTGTGGCAGAGGAGGAGCGTTGTTCCTGTGGCCCTCCCCCTGCCCCCTGCCACTTCATTTGGCCCCCTTTACTTGTGACTCCCATTGGTCCTACCCAGGGGTCATTTTGTAGAAAAAGAGGTGCAGGAGCTCATTAGCATAATTCATTAGCATACCTTTGCATATGCCACACCCCCTGACATCACCGGAAGTATGTCAGAAGGCAACACCCACTGCTCAGGCTCTACTGGACTGTTTTGGATTGCTAGCTATTGGGGGGGGGGGGCGGTGAAGATCTGCCCTCA